CTGCCTGATTGCCTCTAACTGCCTCTGCCTGCCTGTCTGATTGCCCCTAAGAACTCTGCCTGCTTGTCTGATCACCCCTAACTGCCTCTGTCTTCCTGCCTGATAGCCCCTAACCGCCTTTCCCTGTCTGATCCCCCTAACAGCCTCTGCCTGCCTGATCATCCCTAACTGCCTCTTCCTGCCTGCCTGATCGCCCCTAAGTACTCTGCTTGCCTGATCACCCCTAACTGCCTCTCCCTGTCTGATAGTCCCTAAGCACTCTGCCTGCTTAATTGCCCCTAACTGCTTGTTGGGGGGTGGTCAGCGGGGTTGAGGGGCCATGGTCATTCTGGTCTCTGGTTATTCTGGTCATTCCACTATTTTGGTCACTGGGCTTTTATTATATAGAATAAACAAAATGAAGGATAAAAAACACATGATAATATCAATAGAAGCAGAAAAAGCATCTCATAAAATCCAGCACCCATTTATGATAAAAACTATTAGCAAAGTGGGAATAGAACAAACATATTCCAATGTAATAAATGCCATCTATGACAAACCCACAGCCAGCATCATTCTAAATAAGCAAAACTTCAAGTATTCCCCTTAAGATCAGGAGCAAGACAGGGATGTCCACTTTCACCACTCTTATTCAACACTAGGGGATTAGTGCATGAATTTGTGCACATTGTAAGGAACTGTGAGCTGCGAGACTGCAGTGGGCATAGGAGCAGGTCTTGGCCCATTTTCTGCACCCCCACCTGGCCCCTCCTGCTGTGGCCTCCAGTCCCCTCTCTGCCAGCAACCCCGCTCTCATTGATGCCACTCCCACCCACTGATGCCCTGACCCCACTTGCAGCCCCTGATGTGTGGAGCAATTGGGGCTGATGCCAACAGTGGGTGCAAGTGGGCCAGCGCTGTCAGCGGGTGCAAGTGGTGGCTGCTGCCCCGATTGCCCCTCAGGAGCAGCGGGAGGTGGAGAAGCCCTCAGGGGTGATCAGGGCCAGCAGCCACCGCTCGCACCCACTGATGGCACCTAGTGATTGGGACTGGCACCAGGCATGGGCAGTGGGTGCAAGCAGTGGCTCTGGCACCAGCTGCACATGCAAGCGGAGCCCTCACTGGCAGCAGGTACAAGAAGTGGCTCCCAGCCCTCATTGCCTCTCATGAGCAGAGGGAGGTGGAGAAGCCCTCAGGGGTGATCAGGGCCAGCAGCCACCGCTCGCACCCACTGATGGCACCTAGTGATTGGGACTGGCACCAGGCATGGGCAGTGGGTGCAAGCAGTGGCTCTGGCACCAGCTGCACATGCAAGCGGAGCCCTCACTGGCAGCAGGTACAAGAAGTGGCTCCCAGCCCTCATTGCCTCTCATGAGCAGAGGGAGGTGGAGAAGCCCTCAGGGGTGATCAGGGCCAGCAGCCACCGCTCGCACCCACTGATGGCACCTAGTGATTGGGACTGGCACCAGGCATGGGCAGTGGGTGCAAGCAGTGGCTCTGGCACCAGCTGCACATGCAAGCGGAGCCCTCACTGGCAGCAGGTACAAGAAGTGGCTCCCAGCCCTCATTGCCTCTCATGAGCAGAGGGAGGTGGAGAAGCCCTCAGGGGTGATTGGGGCCAGTAGTCACCACCCACACCTGCTGATGGTGCCGAGCAATTGGGGGCAATGCTGGGCACTGGCAGCAGGTGTGAGAAGCAGCTCCAGCACCAGCAGTGGGTGTAAGTGGGGCTGGCACTGACAGACGGTGCGAGTGCCAGGTGGGACCTTGGCACGCAGGAGCAAAGAATTTTCAGTAACCATCAGAGGCTCGCCGGCACCCCCGCTCTCCTGCTCCACCATCCCACCACAGATGACACCTGCCATGCTCCATACTCTACTGCCTGCCCCTGACGCCTGCCATGTTCTGCCCACACACCCTTGTGGTCAGTGCACGTCATAATGACTGGTTGTTCAGTTGTTTGGATGTTTGGTTGTTCAGTTGTTCTGCATTTGGTCTATTTGCATATTAGGTTTTATATATATATATATATATATATATATATTTCAAAAGCATTTTAACTTATTTCTCTGTACTCTTTTTTTCTGCAAATTGGCAGTTGGATGCAGTGGCCAGAGCTGGTTCCAGTTTTTTGTTTGTTTTTTAATCCGCACTCAAGGATATTTTTTCATTGATTTTCAGAGAGAGTGGAAGAGAGAGGGAAAGACAGAAACATCGATGTGAGAGAAACACATCGATTGGTTGCCTCCTGCACACGCCCTGACCAGGGCCTGGGCTGGGGAGGAGCCTGCAACCAAGGTATGTGCCGTTGACCAGAATCGAACCCGGACTCTTTGGTCCACAGGCCAACACTCTATCTACTGAGCCAAACTGCCTAGGGGTTGGTTCAATTTTTATCTCTTTACAGGTAGTGGCATGTTTTCTCATTAGGGGGCACATGATGTCTTGTGTCATTCTTTTTGTGATGTTAGCAGCTGAGATGCTCAATGCCTAGATCCATTCATTGGTGGTTGCAAAGTGGTGATATTCAAGTTCTAACAATTCTTTTTTGTTTGTTAATTGCAATACTTTTATAGAGATGCTTTCACTCGTCTATCATTTGGTTACCAATGCTATAGTTCATATAGGAAAGGCAGGATAAAGGTTTTATTCTTTTCCCTTTATATACCAGTTTTGAAGAAAATTACTTGGTTTCCTATCATCCTCCAAAAGTCAATTATCTTCTTGGAGCTTAGATTGTCTCATCTGTGGCCAGTGGGAAACTGCTGAAGCCAGGTCCGTTAGCCATGACCCTACTAGGCCTTGACAGCTTTCTTACCTTCTGTTATGATGACAAGATTCAAGGGTTATCTTTACATTTTCAGTCCCAGACCTGGAATCAGCCATTTCCGAAAAAATTAAATTAAATTAAAATGCTGGTTTGTTTTTCACAACTTGGTTGCCAGGGTTACTCATTCTTTCTAGGCCTCTTCAGAAAACAGAGCTAGGAAATACACACACACACACACACACACACACATTCTTTTTTTTAAAATATATTTTATTGATTTTTTACAGAGAGGAAGGGAGAGAGATAGAGAGTTAGAAACATCGATGAGAGAGAAACATCGATCAGCTGCCTCCTGCACATCTCCTACTGGGGATGTGCCCGCAACCCAGGTACATGCCCTTGACCGGAATCGAACCTGGG